GAATGGCTGCTAAAGTTCCAACCCTTTTTGGCTACAAACAGCTATCTCTGTTTGATGTAGATGTATGCAGAGGAGGGAGGAGTGGTCCAGCAGTGCTTTTACCTTCCTGGCCTAGAGGGACAATGTTTGCTGGGGCACAAGGGTAAGCTGCCCCATCTGAGGCTTTGCATCCCAGCACTGTGACTGGTCCAGCACAAGTGACAGACTGAGGGAAGGCAGCAGGGAAGTGCAATGGCATTCTCCATCTTCCTGAAACCTCGGAGAGTGTTACTCTGATTTTATGTACACAAAGCGATTATTAAAGAAGAGAAAAGAGAGGTTGTGTTTCAAGCAGTAGAAATAAAACCCCTCAGCTGTTTTTATCATGTTTCTCCTTTTCTCCCCTGAGTTCACTCTCTCTGGATAGCAGAAATGAAAGGAAAGCTCCATTTAAATGCAGATTTGAAGCGTTGGCCAAAAGCAATAAATAGCCCTCTGCTACAGTGATCAGGCAAACATTATCAAGTCTCTTTGTGAAGGAGATTTTATGTTGGGAGATTTTGTTTTTCCTTGATGAGATCCTCTTTCCTCTCAGAGCAATAGCATATTGATGACTTCTTGCTTTATTTTTAAGCAGCACTTCAGAGATTAGAATGGAAACACAATCCCACCTGTTTCTCCACTGGAGCTGTACTTGACAGCCCTGTAATGAGGAAGTCTCCAAATTTCTTATCCTTTCCTGTGTTGGCAGCCTGAAGGGCTGATATCGTGCTCAGCAGAGGGGAAATGTGCAAAATAAGGCAATCCTGCAACCATATTTAATCAACTGACCTTCAGATGATCTGAAGCCTCGTGGTTTTGGAGCTGGTTTCTGGTTCATGAAGTCAGGAGCAGCTCAAGGTTGGGTCTCTGATGTTAAGAGATAGTGCAGGTGGTTGGAGAGCAGCAGGAAGGGGAGATGTGGAGGTCTGGGGTGATGTCCTCATGTCCCAGCGCATCTCTTGAGGCTGGTGTTCCTGTGCAGGACATCAGTGCTTGAAGAACAGTATGGTTTCTGGTGTGCCTTGGATCCAAAGGGTTCCTGCTTTTGAGAGTGAGGCACTGATACGCTTCAGTGGTAAGCATTGGATCTTCTAGGTGTCTAAACGTGGTTGAACTTGAGGTTACAGCTCTTAATTTGAAAGTCCATTCATAGTGGGTATATATAGAGGATTTGAGGACTGTGTTTACAGTATAAATCAGAAGAGGTTGTAAGTGTGATTGTAATCTGTCAGAGGAGATACCTGAGATATATTGCATATAGCTCTAGCTTTTTAACTTGGAGGAACAGGTCACAAACAGTGAAATATCACATTTACTAAGCCAGTGTTTTACTAAATCTACATCTTCAAGAGATGACTTGAGATGGCACTTGTGTTTCTGAGTATGGCTTTACATCTCAATGGTATGATGAGCATCTGGGAAAACACAGCAATACTTAATAAAGTTAACAGGGAAGGGTCAGCAGAACACTGGTGTAGCAATGTGCAAACCTCCTGGTGACATCTGTTCCCTCTTATTGTTAGAAAAATGCTATTTCATTAGGTCTTGGTTGGATCTGTCATCAAGCAGTGCCATGTAGTAAAGCTTGCAGTCGCATTAGGCTTGTCAGAGCACATATGTTGTGAAGCTGGCTGGTGGCGGGTAGCGCTCTGGGGAGCCACATGGCTTGTGGGAATGGGAGAGCAGAGGCTTTGTGCTTATTTAGCACTGGTTGAAACCCAGCTGAGGGTGGAAAGGATTACATTTCCGTGCTGTCTGAAAGGGGCCGGTGCACTTATTAGGATGAGTTGCTGTGTCTCAGCCCGGCTCTGGGAAGACAGCTGTCTCCACCACTGAAAACACCAGCTGACAGCACTGCCTGTCCGCCTGCTTGCTGGTTTAGGTGAAAAGGAATAGGACTGGATTGTTTGAGGTGAGAAATCAATGTTCTCCTCCTCCTGGAGAAGTTCCTCCAGGGTAAGAGGCGAAAGGGCAGGAGAGTTTGAGCATCTGTCTTTGATACTGCGGCTGTGCTCAGCTTGAGTGGAGGATGACATATAGGAAAGTTATTGAACTCTGCTTTTCTCAGAGGGCACTGTCACATCATCTTGCATTTCTTTGGCTGCCAGTAATACTCTTTTCTGTGGTTCTTACTGTTGAATCATTAACTCGGAGGGTTGCATTTGAAATATGTGTTTGATGGAGATTTTCAGTTCAAGTCACTTACTGCTTGAATGTTAAGAAAGTGTAACCCAGCTATTTTCAGTGCATATCCAGAGCGATAAACTCTGATTTGTAGCCTCTTGGCTTTATGGGTTTTGTATTAAGTGTAAAGAAAACCTGGGCATATAGAATTAAAGAAGAATTATTACTGCCTTCAGGATGTATATCTGTGGCTGGAAAAGATGCTTCCAGCCTTCCTGACTTCACTTGAAGCTGTTTGACTTTCACTCCCTGGGAAATCCTAAGCAGCCCTGAATTGGGCATCACAGACCCAGGTGTTCCTGGCTCCCTCTGAAATCCTCTTCTCATAATTCATAGAGAAGGCAGTCGAGATTGGAGACATTTATTATGATGGCGAAGATAGAAGTGATTTTTGAGGCCAACAAAGTTCAAAGACTTTGCTGTAAGCCTTCAGGATTAAAGATTTACTTGATGCATCTTCCCATATTTAATAGACAGGAATAGATGAAAGGGAATTTCTGTAAAGATTTTCGTTCATACTTAATGATGCCACTATTAGACGAGCTTTGGCACCGTGTCCCGAGACATGAAGTTTTAAAGCCAACCTTTTTTAAACAGTAAGTGACCTTTTTCATCTGCTAGCTTAATAAATAAAGATTAGTTCAACCTCATTATCTACTCTGTTCCGGGGGCTCTTTGGATGGTTGGTAAAACTAACTAGTCTCCCAAAGTGCGAGTGAACAAATGGTGTTTGCAGGGAGTTTGAAGCAGTAATGTGGTTTGATTAGTGCCTAGGCTCTAGGAGTGCCATCACCACCTCCATCCTGGCATTTAGGCTGTATGGGTCCTTTCTTTTCCTAAAGCTGCCACTTGCTGTGAGCACTTCCACCTTCCCCTTGTTATTTGCTGCCAAGGTGGAAGGCCAAGTTCCCATTGAATCAGAGCAGAGAAGAGGACTTGTTGGGGTTTGGTTTGGTCGTTTTACTCAGCTGTAGGGAGCTCTTCAAGATTTACAGAATTAAGAATGGAAAATCCCTTCCTGAATGGAGAGAGAAAACCTTTGTGCAAACATTTGTGCCTCGGTGGCCTGAGGAAATGACTTGAAATGCTTCGGTTTTGACGCTTTTGTATTTAAAATGCATTTAACTGTACATTAGCGTAAGTCAATTTTCTTAGGAAACCGACACTTGAAGAATTTACTTGCAAACGTTTTCCAATTTAGTGATTTTGAAGCTTTAAATGAGAAAATAATGAATCAAAGAATGCTGACACGCACTCCCCCACCACTGATGTTTAATTTCGCTGTGTCAGCACCTGGAATGTAAGCAGCACTTGATAATGTTCATCAGATCCAGTACATTGCTTTACCCTTTCCTGGAAACAGGGCTGTAGTGAGGAGTTTGCACACATCAGGTAGCTTTGTGTATGAGGACTTTCTTCCCTGCCTGCTGCTGCTGGGGAGCTGGGCGAGCTGCTTGCTGGGGCACTTTGTCATTAAGATCCATATCGATGCTTAGGAAACCTGTGATCCGTGCCTCTGGCCTTAGAGGAGAGCACAACCTTCTTTCTTGCATAATGAGATTAAGTGCCCTAGCTTTGCAGATAATGATGGTGTTGGTGTGTTAGCTGAGCACCTGAAGGACTGGGAATGTTCACCAAGACATCTGTGCATATCATACAAGAAGTATTGCTGTGTGTTTCTTTATCGGTACTTCAGCTTAGCTCCCGTAAAACTGGGATAAGGTAGGAAAAGGAGGAGTTTCTTGAGTGGGTATCATAAGGATGCAAGTAACTCGGACTAGCTTGGATATGATTCACCAGTGGATTTGGTATCTAGTTACTGTGGGGGTCAGGGCAGGATGAGCAAGCAGAGATGCTCTGCAGCTTCATGAGAGAAGGGGTCCCATTGTGATAAACATAGCAAAGCTAAGAGCCCTGAAGTGCGATGCAAATGGGTTGTAGAAGTTGGGCTATGCTTTGAGGTTTGGGCTTGGTTCAAAGCAAGGCTCAGGGGCAGGAGCGCCAAAGTAATGGGACCCTGAACCTGGGACAAGTTTCTTTGTCTAGGCTGTGTAGGAGGAGACCTCCTATGAGCAAGGATAAACCCACGGGGGTGCAGAATTTGTGCCAGCTCATACTGAAACAATGTGATGAATGCTCGATTCCAATCTCATTTTGCCTTCCATCAAGGAAATAAAAATACCCCACACTATCTCCCTGTGCCTAACACAGATTTGAGTGGGCAGGCCCAGGAGCTGAGTTCAAGAGTCAAGTGCTTTCTGTTTGACAAATATTTGTCCCTTCCCACCCACGGCTGCCCACGTGCTTCCTGAAATATTCCAGCTATTAGCACCGTACCAACGTGCTTTGAAACGAACAAACCGAGGCTATCTGGGGACGTTTTCCCTTTGTTAGGATGCGAGGCAGTGCCTGGATCTGGGCTGCTTGGGGCTGCACGGGTGGATGTCCCTCTTTAGAGCATCCGGTCCGGGCGGCTGGCTGTGCTGCAGTGGGTGTTAGGCACCACCAGGTCCCCAGCAGCGTGGGTGGATGTGTGGTGCTGCAGTGCAGCAGCAGGTAACACAGCCACTGCTGCAGAGATGTGAACACCCACATGTCTGGCAAGACCTGGGAGGTGGGCGAAGTGGCGGGCAAGGCCGCACGATGGAGTGAGGATGCTCTAACAATAGCACAAGTGCTGACGCGGTGGCTGCTTGCGTGGCACTGGAGATCCCAAAGGGAAGGGAATGGAAAAGTGGAAAGCCGAGCCGGGTCCCTGCCAAGCGTAATCTCAGCCATCGCCTTTGCTTCCACAGCTGCCATCCTGGATGACCCCATGGAGTGCAGCAGAGGGGAGAGGCTCTCCATCACGCTGGCCAAGAACCGCATCAACCGTGCACCCGAGCGGGTGGGGAAAGCCAAAGTGGAGGTGGACATCTTTGAGCTGCTGCGAGACAGCGAGTATGAGACAGCGGAAACCAGTAAGTACCCCTCCATGGAGCTGGTCCTTCCCCAGTTCTGCTTTCTGCTGGCTCACAGGAGGTGCCTGGCACACTGTGCAGAGGATAAGTGTGTGATAGCCAAGGGAGGTAGAGAGGGCAAAAAGCACCTCTGTGCTCCTCTATAAGCACTGGAAAGAGCAACGTGTGTTGATTGATCAACACATCAATCTCTGCAAAGACCCAAACCTACCCTTGCTGCCTGAGCACAGTCAGGTTTGGTGCAGGGGTTTGGTACACTCTGGATGTGGGTGCAGCATTCCCTTGGGAGCTGCATGGGATCTTTAGCAGCACTCATGCTGAGTTCAGCACCAGCCACGCATTTGGAAGGGCTGGCTCTGTGTGGGGGCATCCAGCGCAGGTTACGGTGGCACATTAACAGGAGTAAGCTTTGCCACCATGCAGCTCAGTGGCTTGGGACAAATTATTTCTCTAATCTGTGTGTCAATAAACAGAGGTAATGGTACAGGAAGCGATGCTCCTTTGTGAAGTACTTTATAGCGTGCAAATAAGAGATGACGGGCAAGTTTAGTGCGATTAAGCTCTTTCTAAAACCCCACAGAACGCTGTGTGTCAGCAAACACGATAGCTTTTTCAGTGCTTTAGATTGGCAGTGGGTTTATTTACACAAGGGGAAGTTTTCAAGTGATGTTTGAAACCATGTGGATTAAAAAGAGCTGGTTTTGAAAGGCAGCGTACTTCCCGTGTTGCTGTCCTCGTAATGGAAATGGGTCTCTGCTGTAGTTGCTCCCCTTGATGCCCATCGTGCCAACTCCACACTGATGACTAAAAGGAGAAATTGATGGTTAGTGGCCACAGAGCTCTCAGGAGCCTGAGTGAAAGAAACCAAAGAGATCTATAATAGGTTCTTCCTGTAAGAGGGAAAATCCTTTGGAACAGGTTATGGTCCCTTTAGAACTATTTTTAAGATGACCTTTAGAGTTCAATGGAGGACTATTATTTTTTATTACAAGTTAACTTGAAAAAGCTGGAGAAATAATTTTAAATAATAGGGATTTTTAGGCTCATTTCCTAGTGGTTCCCTGTCCCAAGCCTTTGTAATCTGCAGGGTATCCCCAAAAGGTGTGCCAGCATGTTGTGGTCTAGAGAAGCCTGGTTTTTCTATGCAGCTTTGTACAGCACTGAGCATCCCTGTGTCTGGGAGGCCCCATGGATCACAGACACAGCACTGCTAAGGAGCAGGTCTCTGGGTATGTGGCAGAACGGGCTCGATAGGCCTGTGAGATCAGCAGATTGCTCCTTCATTTCCGGAATTAGTGTTTGCATTATTTATAGAAGCATTCAGTTAATAAAAGTGCATTTCAGCAAGTACCTGTATGGCTATTTTTAGAGCCTGTCACCCAAGAGGCAGTCTAGATTAAGATCATCACATGCAGCATCATGGGGACTGTTCAAAACAGCAGTTCTCCACCTTTTGGAGCTCGCATCCCTTTTAACTTCTTTTTGGGCTTTCCCATCTGTTGAGGCTTGTGTACATCCTGCTTTACCCTCGTTTAACAGAGCCGTAGGGTGAATGCAGCCTTACTGGCCAGACTATGAAGAAGGGATGGGGACTGCCTGGGTTTCCGTTTATCAAGCAGAGGAATACTAATTCGCTGGGAATGAAGTATTATGCAGGAAAATGTTGATTTCAGCAAATGTGGTCTTCGGGGAGAATGTGGAAATGGGATAAGTGAGGAAGAGGCAATCTTCTGGTTTGAATTTTCACCTCAGGGTGATTCTCTTTGTTCCCTTTACTTGAGCTCACAGAGGGTAAAAGGTAGAAATGGGAGCAAACTGATGTGATTTTGGTCAAGTAAATATTCACACAATTTTGCAACGTGTTATTTGCCTTTTCTTCAGAGAGGAAAGTCTCTTAAAGCATTTTGTACAAAAGGAGAAATCCATATTCTGCATGGCTTCTCTATTAATGTCACTGGAGTTGTTCTTGATTTATACTGGTAGTAGAGGAGAATCAGATCCTTTAACTTACATTTCAAGGCTTTCATAGCTTTCAGATGTCTGCCTTCTCAGCTTTAATAAAGCGCTTGTATTTGTTATCGCACGTAATATTAATAAAAGCAGTCGAGATGTTTTAACCTATGACTGCAAAGCTGTTATACATCTGTTTAATACTGATCTCAAATTTCACACCCTGTGATTCACCCTCAAATATCACAGCTAGCATGGTTAGCCGACTGATGGAGGAACACTGCAATTCCCCCCCATCAGTGACACTTGTGTACAGCTAGTGCTTCAAGAGAAAGGGTCTTTGAGAGTTAGTTTTGTTTTCTAGTTGAGGTGTTATCTTTCTGTTTTCTTCCTGACTGACTCAGGCATCTTCCTGTTAGGGAGGCCATAAAATCACTGTTTGGATAGCAGGTAAAATATGAGTCAGTCTGAATCACACCCAAGCATGGGTTGCTGTTTCTGCTTTATATATGAATGGAGACAAACATTGACTGTTCTGGTATGCAACACCTGTGAAGTCCTGTGTTTTGAAATGATTCTGCAGTGAAAGGTTATGGATAGAGGTTTTTTTCCTGTTACAAGTGATGCCTGTTCTCTCTTTGTGTTTGAAGTTTCAGCTTCTTTTATGGAGATCCAAAATGACTTGTTTAATCATGTCTATATCTGAAACACCTTATTCCTTTTGATGTCCGGGGAGGGACAGATTTTCGACTTGTCACCCTGTCCCCTATCATTTCATCAGTCTTTTAAGCATCTTTTTGATGTTAATCCAGGCATCTCGGGGCAGGCCACCAGTTGGAATGAGCAAGCAACTGGAGGATTTTAAACTTTTATTTATTCATACTAAGACTTCAAAGTGCCAGATACATCCTTTCAGGGACATTGACTCAAATGAGCTATTAACTGTTCCACCATCTCTGTGATCCTGTTGAATTACTCCTGCTGTGGTTGTGGGTTCCTGGTAAGAAGCATAGAGGGTGCTGCAGGAAGCAGTCTTGGAGTCATGGTGCAGAATGCACTTTTTATAGCACTGTCTGTTTATGCACTTGATGTTTTCTGTATGAGAATCCCGTCCTGACCAGTCCTGTCATTCAAGATCCCCTGATATGTTTGGCAATCTTGGAAACGTTGAAGTAATTGCATACCTTCCCTGATAATTTATTTTCAATTAGAGGCAGGAATCTTCTTTGCATGCTGTTTGAAACCCTTGTATCAGGTGTCTGTATGCAGTGAAAGAGATGCTGTGCTCTGCATCCTGGGTGGGTGCTCTCACCTGAGCACTTCCAGCATGATTTAAACAGGGAGAGTTAATGGAAATGCTTGCCAAGTGCCCTGAGACTGCAGGAGGTGAAAGGCACTATGTGACCACGACAACCTTTATGTATATGCACTGAGCACAACTCATTTGTTGTGCCTTTTTATGTTCAAAATAAGCATGTATTTCCATGTGCCATTGGAGGTTTCAAATATGATGGCACTTCAATGTCCAGTATTTCCTGAAGTGCTGCATTCTAAAACCCATAACGGTTGGACACAATCTTGGGCAGAGGTATCGGGGTGTGCAGCAACCAAAAGTGCATCCTGTGCAGTATATGTGCATATGTGTTGAAGTACAAAGAGTTCTGAGTGATAGGGGCTACACCAGTGTCTTATGGTTATAGTCCATGTAGTTATCGGGGATGAATTTGTGGTCCAGGGCAAACATTTCTACATCCCTCAAGTGCTTGTGTGAATCCACAGTGTCTATGATGGCAGCTAGGTTGAGCCTTTTCTCCCTGTGGAGATGAACAGCATCAGGTGGTGTTCTAAAATAGGAAATGTGCTTTGATTACAAAAGAAGCTTTCCAAACATGGCCAAAACCTTTGCCTAGGGCACCTCCACTTTGTTTCCATTCATTTCCCTTAATTTTGCTGGATGTTTCACCCTTGGAGTGATAAGCCAGGTCTTTTTCTTCTGCCAGTTGTTACAATTCTGTTGCTATGACTACTTAACTTGCTTTTTATTCTCAATAGCAGAGATGAGAAGAAAAACACTCGGCAAACTTTTCCCTGCATGCACAACATAATTCCCCTCAGGACTTGCACCCTAGTGACCTGCGGATAAGAGGGCTTGGAACAGCTTCTTCCTCCTAGATGCTGAATTGCAGAGCACCCAAAGGGCCTACTTGCAGCTTAGAGGGACTGATGAGTACCACTGAGATAGTATGCGGGGTTTTCAAATTGCTGCTGCTCTTATTTAAAAGGATCTTCTGAAGAGGTATAAGTGCCTGTAAATTTTTAAGCAGGGAGGAAAAGCAAGTGCTGGATTCCTTTGAAGATGCTGCAGAAATACATCAGTAGCAGGCAGAGGTGGTGGAGGGGCATGGAAGGAAGGCAGACCCAAGAGAAGATGCTTGTACTTGCGCTTTCTGTAAGAAGGCAGAGCAATCAGTATGTACAGGGTCCATACATAGCAGTAGGTGGAGTTTTTCTTTCAAGAGGCTTGGAAAGAGCTAAAACCACTTCCCCAAAATCACAAACTACGTCCTCAGCTTTAGTATCGTATTCCAGTCATGAGGCTGTGGAGACTTACGCAGTCTAAGGCCAGAGATGCCCACCTTCATTAGCTGATCTTCTGCAGAAGATGGACTGTAGATGTTCACATGCTGAACACAGCACTCAGCCCCATAGCCCTAAGCATAGTATAGGCTCTCGTTTCATACCCAGTCTTGATTTAAAGACCTGAAGTTGATAGAGAACCTGCTCTGATCTATAGCATGACAGTTCCGATGATGAATTCCCTTCGCTACAAAAATACATCCTGGTTTGACTTTTTCCAGCTCCTTTTTCCAGCCACTGAATCTAGATAACTTTTCATGACCATCACAAAAGCTTGTCTGACATGTAAACCAGGGACCTGTGGTGAGGATGGTGCTCTGAAACAGGCCGCCCATGTGATACTGAAGAGGCACTGTCTTTAATATCTCAGCTTTGTGATACAGTGGTTTAGTTTTTACATCTGAAAACGCTGTGAGCTTGCTTTTGCCAGACTGATAAGTACTTGTGGGGCCTCTTTTCACCCCTGGGGGCATCCCCTTTCTTCGCTTGATGCCGATTGAGCAAGTGTGGCTTTATCTATCTGAGGAGGAAGGAGCTGAGTGAGTGGGGATGCTGAGGCAGGTCTGGTATCTCAGAATAAGTTGTGGCCAGCACATGTTCAGATGAGCCTTTTGGAGTCTGGGGATTCAGGCGGAGGGGCTCTTGCCTTCTGTTCGCAGGGCTTTGCCTGCACAAGCTGCTGCAGGAATGCTTGTGAGCATCATGGTTGATTGGGATGGCAGCAGGGAAGTGACACCAGCTGGGCTAGTCCTTGGAGTGCCATTTGGCTTAATTTGTGCTGTGAATTAAAAGGACAAAAGGTTGCAGTTTAACCTGGGAAACTTGAGGGGAAGAGATTTAACTTCTTCATTTTGTCAGAGTCGGTTTATTGTTCTGCTAACCTGGGTGGCATGGAGACAGGAGTTTAACTACTGCCGGGGAAAAACCACAAATGAAAAACAGTAATGTGATCCTTGTTATTACCACTGAGCTCTGCAGAGGGTGAGGGAAGGAATTCATACACGTTTGTTTGCTGCTGGATGATGCTTTGAAGCCAGGCGACTGCTGTGCTTAGCATCTTCCATAAACTTTAGTTACTGTTTTGTCTTGGAGAACGGCAGTGGGGCCAGAAAAGGATATTATAAGAACAAACCCTTCTGAGTTAAAGAAGAGATACTGGGGCTTTGGGGAGAGTTCAGGTGGGATGTAGAAAGGCTGGGAAAAGCTGGATGGGAGGGTGTCACAGGCAGGGGGGCAGTGCTTCAGAGGGAAGAGTGGAATTTTAGGGGGACATAAATGGCAGAGATATGTTTTGTGGAGGAGATGACACCACATCCTTATAAGGTGCAGTAGGTACTGTAAGCATGTCTGTCTCCTCGACACCGAGGATGAAATCTAATGCATGTTTCCTCTCTCTGGTGCCCACAGTGTGTCAGATTCTCCCCAAAGGAGTGGTGGGTGTCCTGGGACCTTCCTCGAGCCCAGCCTCGAGCTCTATTATCAGCAATATCTGTGGGGAGAAAGAGGTAAGTGGATGAGTTCCGTCTTGGAGTAAGTCTGTGCCATTGTGCTGACTGACTTGACCCTCGTGCTCAGTGGAGGTGACGCAGGAGTCCTGGCTCCTTCCTCCCAGGGTTTCACAGCAGCCTGGGGTGAGAGCAGAGTCACCCACCATGGGTAAGGGACATGCAGAGATCCCGACCCATTCCCCAGCCCATGTTCTTCATGTTGTCCTTCCAATGGAAGGTGCTCTTGGTGGGCTCCCATTGCAGTAGTGCTTCCCGCTGGCTGCTGCCGGCTGCCCGGGTTCCTTGGGAACACCTCATTTTGCTGCTGATTTACAAAGTATGGATGAGGTTTTTAATTTACCACTATACTGAGCAGCAGTGCCATCTGTACAGATCCCATGCAGAAGGGCTTTCTGCAGCCTTGAAGGGTTTCATCTGAGGTTCTTGTGACTATGCCAAGTCCCAGCCAGAGCTGCACAGCTCGCTGCAGCTTCCAGCTCTGCCTTACGCTGCCTTCTCCCTTCTGCCTCTTGAAGTCCTTGTTCAAGTCTGGTGTTCTGTCCCCACATCCCAGTTATAAAGCGGAGCAGTGACATTGCCTCCATTAGATAGGGGAAGTGAGGTACATTCCTATGGTATTCCAGGTCATCCTTAGCAAAGATGACTTGCTGTAATCGTCTTATCTGCTATATTGTCCTTCCCATGATCTGCCATGGCTTCTAATGATCCAAGCTGACAGCTTGGTTCACAGCCCCTTCTCTTAAGTCATATGTTCTTGCAGCATCTTCCTTTTGCATTTCTTTCCTTGTCCTTGCTTTCATCTGTATCACTGTTTACTTCAGCATCCCTCATGTGCCACCCCATGCAAACCATATGGGGTGCAAAAACCAAAGCTTGCCCTGGCAGGTGCAAATCCTGGCCGGAATTCCTGGATGTGACCTGACTTTGTGCACATACTTGGAAAGCTGCACCCCTTTCAGTTCGCTGCTATTCCATCAATGCAAACCCCTTTTATCTGTGCCCAGGCTATGTGCTTGATTTAATATTGTATAAGCCTTGAACCATCCTGCACTCATCTGGCTCTGCTCAAGGGAAAAGAAACCGAGTTCTCTTCACGTAGTTCATCCCTTTAAAGCCAGATAACATCTCTCAGCCTTTCAGTGGCCTCCCTCTGGAGCCCAGGAGGGGAGTGCCTGGAAGTGAGCACTGTAAATAATTTGCATTCACAAATGACTGCTGTTCTTTGTTCCCTGCAACCACAAGTGTTGAAGAGGAGGAAGAGAACTGTTAGACCTAGTGCTTTTGGCTGCAGCGGGATGGGTCTCTTGAGAGCACTTTGTAGTGCTTTTTCCAGCTAAACGTCCCAGACATGTGAGCCATCCCAGGTAAAGGGAACTCTGCAGTAACAGATTGCAAGTGTTTTTCCCCTGAAATTCATATTCAGAGTCTCTGATCTAAGTCTCTTCGTTTCTTTTTGCTTGCCAGCAATGAAAAGTGAGTTCTATTGCCTTTCTAAGGTATTAGATTCTCAAGCTTGATTTCGGCTCCCCTCCTAGTGATGTAAACCTACAGTAACTCCCTGTGATTTGTATCACAGTAGCATCAGTTGGTGCTGCTGTGTTAAATGGGATATAGCAGCCCAGCCAAAGCCATTGTACTTACAGCCATCCATCAGGTGAAGGAAAGCATCCCCATTTTACCACCAAATGGTGGAGTGACTGGCCTGGTGCTCACCAGGAGCCTGTGGTATAACTGGGGGAGATGAATTGTGTCTCCTGTGTTAGCTTTCTAGTGCCTTTAGCTTAAAGATGTCTTTTCCTTGTGTCCAGAAAGGGGTGTTGCAATGGGGCAGAGCTCTTGGAAAGGAGAAGAGGGCTCGGAGGCTGAAGGTGAGGTCTGAACCATGGCCATGGGGGCTTGCAGGGATTGCCAAGGTGCTGACTGCTTTCACCTCTCTTCCCTGGTAGTGGGTGTTACTGGAAGTCTCAGGCTCCATCTGGCTCCCAAGAACGATCAGTGTTCTTGTACTGGAGCTGCCTTGTCTGCTCTGGTTAAAGGAATTTGCCTTTTGCTTACAGTTTTCTTCTCTCCCTGTTCCCACAACCTGGGATGAGGGCTGCGGGCTGGAATTAAGGCAGATAGCAGCTTATTACTCTCTAACTTTCCTATTGCTAACCAAACAGCTTATGCTGTCAATAAAGCAGCCATTGCAAAGTACTAACAACCTTTCCCACGAGGAGAGAGATGGGAGGCATAGGACGATAGCTTCTGGAAGGACTAATAATGGAGGAAAAGAGGACTTGACACTCGTGTAATGAAGCCGAAGCAGATGTTTCCCTTTCTCTGTCTTCTCTTCCTTCCGAAGAATTCATTCAGCAAAAAGAAAACACTATTCCTTGTCCTTATTTAGCCCTCTGTGTCTGAGCTTGGTCTGTCTGTTCCCTCTATGCAAAGCTATGAGGTGTGCAGCAGAGCCGCCTTGGAGGGAGCCCTCGGGCTGTTCCCTGCTCCCCCTTCCCCACATTCCCTGGATATTCCTCTCCCACCTCCTGCTCTGCTCTGTTAATGACACGCACATCACTATTAGGACTTGGGGTTAAGTCCCATTGGAGCTTGCCCACCGTATGGCCACCAGTTACCTCTCTGCTGATCAAAACAGTCCAAAGCTTCTGGCTGCTGCATCTGTTCCTCTCCCTCCTGAGCCTCACCGGTGCAGGGTCATCTTGTTCTTCCCTTCATCTCTCCTAATTACCTGATGACACATGGGTACTGCGGGCAGAGGTGGGTTTGCAGCACTCCATCCATCTAGCACACAGCAAAGGGCTGGGGGGTTCCAGCATGGGCTCTAACTCCCTGCCTGCAAAGCTGCCTCTGAATTTACCCAGGCAACAAGCCCAAAATGAAGTGGGGGCCCGGCTGCAATTAGTACCCAAGCTAATTAGGTTGAACTCATCCGGTCTGGTTTCCTGTGCTGTAATCACAGCCCCCATTGCCTTTCTCTGAGTGGCTCAGCAAGACTTTTCCTGCTCCACTCCTTCCCGTGGCTTCTTGTTGCTGTGATAATTATTTTCCTCCGCTATTGCACAGATCCCACCCTCCTCTCTTCACTCTGGCGATGCTTCTGCAGTTTTATTGGGATATTTCACTTTCTGCCCGCTGTGCGTTTCGCACCAAAGGTCCTTTTTTTGGGTAGATTTACTTGGTTTTATTCCTTTTTCCTCTATAATTGTGTTTTCTTTCCCCTCCTCCCCGTTTAGGTTCCTCACTTCAAAGTGGCACCGGAGGAATTCCTGAAGCTGCAGCTCCAGCGGTTCACCACCCTCAACCTCCATCCCAGCAACACCGATATCAGCGTGGCCGTGGCAGGAATCCTGAATTTCTTTAACTGCACCACTGCCTGCCTCATCTGTGCCAAAGCTGAATGTAAGTCATTGCCAGGCTGGGTTCGGCTGCCCCTCTGCACCCAGCGCCTTCTCTTCTACCTCCCTCTGCATGTCTGGTGCCTGCTGGAGAAGGTCCCACAGGTAGTGCATGTGAGCATCTCTCCTGGTTGTGGTGGCAGGGTCTCTTCTGTTTGCAGCAGGTCAGCACTCAAGCAGAGCAGCCTGACCCAGTGGTGCCCTGCGGGGCAGGTTTCCCACTCTGTTGCCCCGTGGAGGTGTTTGTGAGAGGAGGAAAGGGGATGGGGAGCGACTTGCCTGCCTTCTGTTTGACAATCTGAAGGGTGTTTTGCTTGCACAGATGGGTTTATATGGAGAAAAAAAAAGAAAAAAAAGGCTTAGTCTTGTTTCTGGAGATTATTTTAGGTAAGTAAAGCTTTTTGAAATATGCCTTTCCCAAACCCGTGTGCCGTTTGTGGCCTAAAAGCAGGACTTGATTAATAGTCAATACACCGCATACCCTCTCGGGCTCTGCAGCCATACATCTGCTGGTAATTGTGCATCTGGATGCTAAGGCATTCACCTCAGCAGGACCGTATTCATCTTGGCATAACTTCCCCAAGGTGGCAGGAGCAGGGTTTGTAGCACAGTGGTTAAAGTGTGTCCTGTGCTTTTTAAAGTCAGTGTGTGGGTAGGTGGCTGCTGCGTAGTACCCACACCAGTTGTGCTTTCATTATCCTGTAGCCAGGTTTGTCAGTGCTAGAGTTGATCGTGCAAACAAGCCTAGAAAAGGGGCTTTGAAAAGGCACGTGGATCCAGGTAGAGCTTTGGGATACTGGCAAGAGCTTAGCAGTGTCTGACAATGGGGCCAGGATCCTTTATAGCTAGCCCTGGGCAACCTTCACACCACCAGCAGTGTTGTGGCAGGCTCCTGCACAGGAACAGACAGAATAAGAGTCTCTTTGCCTTTTCTCTTTGATTTCAGTACCCTGAGGAGACCACATCCTCAGCTCATGTAAGTCATTAAATTGCCTTGAGGAAACATGCTCAGATTTACCCTAGCAGAGGACCTGACCCAAAAGGATGCCATTAAAATCATGTAAATGGTCTCCTGCATTGCTTCTGGTGCTGAAATTTTTCATTGTCTAAGCTTAATTTAAGCAAAATGGAAGAAAAATAGAAAGGAAGAGGAGATAATGAGGTTTTCTCACCTACATGCTCACAGCTCTGTCCTTGCACGGCTGCTGGGCACAGAGCACACATAGGCATCGTCACACTGCTGTGCTCCCCTGCCCTAATCCTCAGGTACGTGCCAAAACATGCAGGCGTCTCCCATGGAATACAGCATGATTCTTCTTTTAACTGGATCCAAACCTTGGGAACCAAATAGCTCACATTAAAATAACACTCCTTTAATTGAATCACTTCCATTAGTTTCACTCTGGTATTGCTGGATAACCCAGTATTTAGGATGCGCTGCTCAACCCGAGTCCTTCCCAGACCCAGGGAAGCAGTGGGATGGGTGCCGTTCATGCATCCTGCTCTTTGTGCCCAATAAGGACCTTTTCTGAGCTAGGCTTAAAGCACAACATGCTCTCACTATCATGGAGTGCAGAAAAGGTATAACCCAGCTTCATGTAGGAGCGCAAGCCCTCATTTTCCCTTAGGACAGGTAGTGCTCCTAATCACAGTCCTTAAACAAGTAACGTAAGGCGCTTTGAGTTTTTGGAAGGTTCCCTGGAGGCAAATAGGGGAGCATACGAGCTATCTGCTCATCAGTGAGGAAATGGTGGTTTGAGGGATGTTGTTATTTAGGTCCCAGGAGGGAGAGTCATAGCTGTTTTGGTTTAAGTACAAGGCTGTGTGATGGGGCTCCTGGGTCCTATCCCGTCACGCTCATGCTATCACTGTAAGGAGTCGCATCCTTTCTCTAGGGACCGATAGTAGTTTCTTCTGGCAGAAGCAGAAAATGACCCTTGAAGTCAATTGAACTTGGGCCAGCCTAAGTGTAATGGATGGTGAACAGAATGGCGTTACGTGACTCAGTTTCTCTGCAGTGTGAAACAAATTAGGTAGTTTGTGAACTGCTCTGAAGTGGCTACAAGGTAGGGTCTGATATGCTGGAAACGATCATTTCCTTGAACCAGAGGACATCAAATGCTTCCTTTTTAGCCTGTCCTATTTCCTCCTCTCTGTGCCTGATGTGCTTTAGAAACCTTGCAGCTGGGCTCTGCCTTCCTCACTTCCTCATCACAGAGGCCAGGGTGGCTTTGGTACCCGAGACTTGTGCCCCAGTGAGCTGTGGCTGGAGGAGGAGGCAGCAACAGTGGTGCTCATGTAGTCAGCAGAGAGAAAAATGAAGAGGAAGCTGAGGGTCTGTTATGAATCACAAACCCATAGCCGCTGGCAGAGGGATGCTCTCCAGTTTGCAAGATTAACTTAGAGCTGAGAAATACAACCTGCAGTGCTAAGGAGCAGGATCTGATTTTATTTCTGCAGGAAATTAAATGGAAAATGTGCTTTTCCAAGGGGGATGGCTGAAGATTTCCCTCCAGATGCCCATGCCTTCCGTGGATTTATGTCCCCTTGAAAGTCACGTTGTGGTGTAAATCTGGGTGTGCAGAGTAGCGCAGCTTTCCCTTCACCTTCTGGTGGATGAGCACTTTCATACAGTCCAAGTGTGGTTAGGCTAAGAGTAGAGCTCTGACTTGAGGATTCAGTTTGCTTCTGGGACATCATTCTGCTGATGGTTCTGTTCTTTTCGGTTTCCTTCATGCAGCTTTCCCCCTTCTTTTTGGACCATCTTTCTGTAGGGATGGGACATGTGTCTTGCTGATGATTACATCTGGTGGACTCTCTGGTTAATCAAACTTGACAGGAAGTAATTTCATGCTGAAACTCAGCAGCTGGGCGGAAGAGACAGACTATCAAATATTCTTTCTTGACTAAGGAAAGCTGCAGCAAGAGCTTTGATGTCTTCCTAGACATCAAGGAAGCTGTGTTGGAAGGAGCCCTTGCAGTGACCTAGCTGCAGGAAGAAGCTTGAATGAGAAGTGTTGAAGGCAGTAGGGCACAAGTCCAGGCAACCTGGGACTCATCCACGTGGGTGCTCACTAATTACTTACTTTGTTCGGCTCCCATTTGAAGGGGGAGCCTGGTCCTGCACTCAGCTCAGTGTGAGCATGAGGGAGGCAGAAATGCTGATGGCAAGGCAGAAAGAAGAAGGCAGGCTTTGTCTTTGCCCACTGATGGAGCCACTGGGCTGCTAACACTGTCCTACATCAATCTCTAATTCCTCTATAAGGCATCAAACATGCTGGTTTGTTTTATTGTTGGCTTCTGTGTTGCTCTAGGAATCCCCAGCCCACAGGTAATTCTGCACTGTGCCAGGGCCATGCTCCCAGTTTTTGTCACATATTTGTATGTAGACTTAATGTTGTATTTTAGCAATGATCTCTGCTTTGTCTGACTCTCAGCAGAGCTCTCCATCCTCAGGGATGCGAGCCCTTGGAAGACAGCAGCTCCCATCAGAGTGCTGTAAGCTCTCCAAACTGAGTCATGCCTTGCAGGGCACTTCATTTGGGAGGTAGTAATGACAAGGCTTAGGAGAGGGAATCATCCTGCAACAACCAGAGCTATCCTGCATGCAGGAAAGTAGTGGAGAAATTGTGTGGACCCTGGGGTCCTGACCAAATTTGTATCAGCAATCTTCTCCTCTCCTAAGAAGCTTTGTCTGGAGTACAGCTGGAGTAACTCCATCATTTCCCATTGCCTGGGAACAGACCCAGGCCCAAGCAGTGAGCCTGTGCTGCAGCCCCAAATCCTTTCCTTTGCACAGAACTGCAGGACTGCTTCCTGCTGGGAATGACTATGGGCTATGGAGAAACGCTTTGTGAACCAAGCAGAAAATTAAAGGTGTCTGCTTTTTTTCCCCCCCTACCTTTTATTTGAAGGCCTTTTAAACCTCGAGAAGTTGCTTCGGCAGTTCCTCATTTCCAAGGACACTCTCTCGGTCCGGATGCTGGATGACAGCCGGGATCCTACCCCTCTCCTAAAAGAGATCCGAGATGACAAAACAGCAACCATCATCGTACACGCCAATGCTTCCATGTCTCATACCATTCTGCGGAAGGTAAGGGTCTCTTGAGCATCACAGCTGTAAAGGCTGCTGCTTTCACTGCGTGCAGGATGTAAGCATGCATGTGCAGGGGTTGTATGACAGTGGAGTGTAACAATCCCTGCAGTAACACTGGAAATGGGGAATTGCCACTGATGGAGTTTCTGGGGAAAACAATTTGCTCTCTTTCCAGGACTCTCTCTATAGAAGCAATGATTCAATTGCTCTGAGCTGATGTGTTTGCTTTCTAGAAGTGGTGTGTGCTTGTGGCTCCTGCTGCCATCAAACAGCCGTGGAGAACTGCTATAGGCACTCTGGAATCAGTCAGTCAGTGCCATGGTTTCCGCTTTTTATCTCCAACTCCATTTATAAGTTTTTGCTTCCTTTTTTATTGCCTTATTAACCGAGATTTTGGTTTAATCATGTTTATTTTTAAGTGGTCTCTTGCTGCAGTTTTTAGCATTTGGTTTGATAGACTACTTCAAAATTGAGCAGTGGCTCCAGATGGAACTACAAAGTTGTGTAGAGTTTCCCACATCCTGGAAGGAACAAGAAGGACTTTACTGAATGGAAGCAGGATCCAGGCAGTGGGGTCCTCCCTGTTGGAGCAGGCTTCACCTATGGTGTCCTGGCTGCAATGTCAGGGACTCAGTCATTCAAAGGCATTGACTATACCAGATTTATTCCTGGTGACAGGCAGCAGAAACCATTAGAGCTGTTTTAATTATTCCCTCCCACCTGCCCTAAGATCTTTATTCCCCTGCTTGCGTTTCAAAACAGGCAGGTTTGGGGTTTTTTGGGTCCCTTTTATGCAGGGGGAAGGTGGTGTGGTTCTTTACTTCTCTCTTCCCTCCTGGTCCTTAGTGCTGCCTGGCTGCTGAGGGCTGTCCCCCTCCTCTGTTGCTATAGTGACTTCCCACCAGCACACAGCAGTGCTCTTCATGCACCCGCCGTCTCCCTTCCCTTCTTGAGCATCCTTCTGCCACGACTGATAAAGATGTCAGAGATTGCCATGATTTTTCAGCACCCGAGTAAAACCTAAAGCAGTCTTCCCAGCTAGAGGATTGCAGGAATGGAAGGTAATAAACAATGAGCTTCTGATCTGGTAACTTCCTTCACACTGGGAGGCTGAAAAGTGTTTTCTTTATAGAGGTACAAGCAGAATAAGGAGTGAGGTTGTGGTGAGCGCATGGGTACATCATTGGCCTCTGCCCACAGGTCACCAACAGCAAGACAAATGTGCTATTGCTTTGAAAGTGCCTTGTGCTGGACGTGCCTCAAGAGACCAGTCCTGGCCTCGCACAACAAGAGAAACTGCAGTTTCTCATCTCTTACCCTCCACATATGGTCTGGAGACACATGGTTGCTTCCTCGATTACCAGCCTCTCCCGGCTGCCCACCTGCCAGCGGGCATGTGAAATGGATGGGAGTGATGCTCGCAGGAAGCGCTTTGTTGCTCGCTTTGATTTTCTGCCCTTGAAATCAAATGCACTGACTTCAAAGGGGGTCAGGCGAGGAGCTGATATTATCACTGTCCCCAGGAAGGGAAAAGGGAGGGAACTGGGTGCCAGCCTTTATTGTGTAGGGCTTAAAAATGAGGCCAGTGACTGAAAGGCAGGGCTGCAGCCTCCTCTGGAGTCATGGTGCTCTTGTGGTCAAATAGCTTTGGTGGGTCCATTTTGCCACTAGTGCAAAGGACAGGGTGACAGTGTGCAATCAGAAGGCTGGATACAGCCAGTCCAATCCGTGATCTGTCAGTATCCATAGATCCCTGCTGTCCATGTCAACTCCCACTGCAATAGTAGTGGCCTTGTTTTTTCACAGAAATAGGTGAGGAACAGGGAAGGATGCGACCTAAGCAACCTCTTTGTATCTTTCCTGCATTCACTTTCTGTTGTAACCACCCTCCAGTTTCTGGGGGAGATGGGAAGTGACTAAACCCAAGCTGCCTTTGGTCCTTCCCTCTCTGCCTCCAGCTCCTCTGTGTGATCTGGGGTGCTGGGCAAACCTCTTTGCCAAGGTCGAGAAGCATGGTTTGATACCAGCTGTGCTTGGCAGTGAAACACGGGCTTGCAGGAGGATCTGCAGATTAATCCCCCACTTTGCGGAGCATCTGTTCCCACAAACAGCTCCTTGTTTACTGGGAGTTGTGAGGTTTGGAAAAAGACCTCAGTGATCTGGGCTGGGATCTCTAGAAGAGATCACATGGAAAAATCTGTGTCCTTCACTCTGCATCTCCATATGCTTTTACCCTTCTTGTTGACTATTTCTGTGGCCACTGCATCCGTGTCTAAATTCGGGAGAACAGGTTTTGTTACTCGGTTTCATTTGTGCTAGTTAATTTATAGGGCTGGAGCCCAAATCTGACAGATACATGTGGGAAAACCACCAGTGGGGTGACTGTCCATTTTCTCTACCTCCAGAAGAGCTTTTTCTGCCTTGCTCTCAGCATCACGGTGTTCGTGGTGAAAGGAGACAAGCCCTGCACTCTCCCAACTCGTGCATCCCCTCATTATGTTCAAAAAGATGTTAGTAGCTGAACAGCAGAAAAGCAGCAACCTCCAAACATGCAGTATGCCCAAGGAACTCCTCAGTCCAAGGGGCTCTTGAGGCCTCGGGCCACCGTATCCCACTTCGCCTTGCTGGGTATGGGCATTGCTGTGGGGATGCAAAAGCTTTTGCTTCCAATGGGCATCTTCCTTCCAGGTTGTCCTTGTCTGGAGTGGGGCCACATGCAGAAATCCCCATGTGTGATGTTGCAGAGGGAGCAGAGATGGTCACAGGGGACCGGAGCTGCTGCTCATGCAACACTGGGTGGTTTCTCTCTGCCAGGCAGCCCCATGTCAATGCTGATGCAGAGAGGAGACCTCAGGGGTAGGCTCAGTCCTGCTGAAAGATTGGTTCCCCAGACTTCATTTTCACAGGTCAAATCGTGCTGCTGTGTCCCACCTTTTCCCTCCTGCAGGAAGACAGCAGCGCTTGCACGGAGCGATAAGGATGAAGAAGCAAATGTGGTCCAGTCTCTGCCTTGCCGGAGTGGAGATTGAAGATTGTCAGGCTCTGGTCTAATCTCCTTTCCTCTCCTTCACAGGCAGCTGAACTGGGAATGGCGTCTGCCTATTACACGTATATCTTCACTAATCTGGTAAGGCATTTCTCTCTGCTTTTCTCCTGTGTGCGTGTAGAGTCATGTTAATGGGAGCTGATCTCCCTGGCCCATGGGAGCATTGGGAAGAGCGACGTGCTTGCGGAGCTGGAGTTTTGCAGTGGAAAGGGGATGGAAGCAAGTAGAGGTGTCCCCTTGCAAACCTAGTTATCAGGCAGGGGAAGTCTTGCCCTGGTCTTTAGGAGGTGAAAGCTGATGGGCTCCCCACAGAACTGATTGATCCCAAGGATTTGCAGGCACGGAAATGGTGCAATGAGATGTGTGGGTCCTTGGGAAGCCTCGGCAGATGGGTGGCTGCTGACCCATCTGAGGGGCTCAGGAGGGTTTTGGTGGAGATGTTAGCCCTTTACCCATGGGGTAGGTTGCTTGGGGTGTGTATGTGGAGGGCACCACAACCCTGTGCTTTTTTGCTTTGCCTCCAAGAGCAGCTGTGTAAGACAAAGGAAAGATGATACCATAAACATCGAGAGGCAGAGCAGGGTATATATTCAGCATGGCCCCTGGTGATTTGGCTTTATAGCTACTAATAACATTAATGGGGGGATCGTGTGGTTAAATCCCTGAGTACTGTGCTAAACAAGGAGTAATGGGCTTAGGCAGCAGCAGGGGGAAACCCAAAATAAACACGAGAGCAACTTCTCTTGCTGCAGCAGCTACAAGGCTCTTGAACCAGCTGCCAAGTGGTGTGAGGGAACGCTGCCACTGGGGAAAGCAGATACCTACCTATTAATGCTGGCGTGGGGATGGTGGGGACTTGAGTGCGGCAGGATAGGGCGGATGATGAAGTGGAGGTGCCTTCCAACCCTAAATGATCCTCATCTTCTCTAATTTCTATTAATATTTATGCCAGGGTGTGCGTGTGCCAGGAAAGCCGGGAGCTGAATCACGCTTTGTGTTTGGGTGGGAGACAGACAGGAATGGATGGAGCCAAACATGTAGGCAGGAGAGGAGGAGGGGGAAGGAGTGAAATGGGGGTTTGAAAGCCAAGAGAGCAACTGGGACAGAGAATAAAAAAGGGGTAGGGAAAGGAGCTGTCAGAAAAAGAGAAAAAGGCAAAAAATAGAAAACCCCACACGCTTCCTACCTGAACTAATAGCATTCTGGTTCCTGCTTAGTGCTCAATGCATAGGTCCTAATGTTGCTCAGTATCAGTCCAGCAAGAACAAGCTTCACTGCTCCTGTTTATTCCTGTGCAAATGGAACTAGCCAGGAAAGCAAAAGCAAGGGATGAACCAAGGGGGGATCAACCAGTGATAGAGACTGGAGGAAGAGCTGCGCCCTTGGGAGGCCGCTTGTTTCAAGGCAGTGGCTGCTGCTTTGTGACTTCTCACCCCCAGTACAGGCCCTGAGATGGAGTGTAGCTGTGCTGGTGGAGCTGGTAAGGGACAGTGGCCATCCCCATCAGGTCCTGCTCACAACACTAACCCACTCCAGTCACTTCCCAGTCCCAGCAAGTAGTTTTCCTGTTGTTTTCTGCTCACAACAACTGTGTTGCTGTGCACCCCATGGACCGGGACTATGCACGTGGTAAGGGATTCTATTTGCGCATCACCAGCAAAGTGGAGTCTGTGTTCATAGATGGTGTTCAGAAAATAGAACTGTAAAAACTGAGGTCCCCACCACTGCCACCACACTAGTTTCAAGCACGGGTATGATTAAACTTTTGCTTGAGGTCCGAAGGTGATATTTGTCTTTGAAACCCATTCATTTAGTGTAATGCAGTTATGGCAGGTGAGAAAGAAATGAGTTTTGTTGCCATTCCCTCGCACAGGGTTTTAATCTCTTTACCCAGGTTATTTTACCACTTCTTCCAAAAGACCAGCCCTCAGCAAAACTGCATTTTTGGCAGGGACTGTTAAAGGTGACATCGGGCAAAACCTGGGCAGATGGAAGAGGTGTTTAAGGAAATTAGTAATATTTAAATGGGGATGAGAGATGGGAAAGAGCAATTTAGACTAATAAATCTGGAGGGATTACCAAGCTCCTAATGAACCCTCTGAGGTTTTTTGCAGTCGCTGCCTAATAGAAAAGATAAAATCATAGTGAACTGCTGTCAAGGGGAGCAAGAAAAAAGATGGCTTTAAATGGAGGGAGAGCCTATCAGAAGGGGAATAGGCAGTCTGTATAGCATTAAGCTACTTGGAGGTGGAAAAAACAGAAGAGAAAAGGGGATAAAATGCTGAATTAAACACCTGCCCTGCGGCTCTGGAGGGGAATTCTATCTTCCAGCATTAATTTTACCTAATAAGCACATCCCAGCCGACAGCTAGTTGTATGTCTCAGCATTTCCCTCTGCGGAGCGTTAGATGGAGGCAAGTTGCTGCAGCTCCCATGGCAAGGACCCATGGGAGAGCGATTTGGGGGTGACAGCTCCTCCGTAGCCAGCCTGAGGACTGCAGGGAGCAGTCAATGGGGAGGCAGAGCAGCACGGGAAAGCAGATGCCAGCCTTTGGCAGGAGATGGAGGGAGCAAATGAGGAGGAAGTCCTCGGGCCCCCGATGCATTTCCATCAGAGCCGAGGCGAGCAGGCTGATGTAAAAATATCCAGAGGCTAATTTACTGTGTGCAAATTCATTATCAGCCTCCTTCAGCCAGCTCAAGGGACCCTTTCTGTCACTAACACAAGCTCCAGGAGTCCTAATGATATTCACAGAACAGAACAGGTCTGGTGCGTTTTTCTTTCCCATGTCCATCATCTGTGTACGTGGTACTCATGGCAACTGAGCACCCTCCTGTCCTCAGTCCACTTGCAGGAAATCTCAGTCTCTCAGTTTCTTCCTGGCATCTCCACGTGCTGACAAACTTCCTTCCTCTGGGAATTACCCTTCTGGGAGGGTTGAAATGTCCTGAACTAATGGCAAATGCTGCCCCAGGGCATCTTCCCTTCCCCACTCCCCAGCGCCTTATGACCATGTAAAGGGGTGAAGGTGTGCTCCATAATAATAGTAGAAATATAATAATAGTAATAATAAATAATAATGATGATGATGATGATAGTGCTTAAGTAGAGCATTGAAAAAATAAACGTTCCTCTTAGTGCTGGGAATCCTTGAATTCACCAGTGCAGAGCAGAAGGGGTGTTGGGTGCCTCCAGAATCCTGTGCTACAGTTAATTCTTTTAGCCTATTAATTCTGTTGTAGCTTGTTATTTTTGCCTTCTTTTTCCTCTCTTATTTTTCATTATAACTTATGGACCTCGGGCTGGGTTTAAATTTCACAACATTTATCAAGGAGATTAGATGGAATTAATTGAAACAATTAAAATTATTGCTGTAAGAAGGAAGGTGAAAAGAGTTTTACTAGTGCCCTAAGTCAGATGGTCTGTTCAGGGGATGCACTTTTGCTACCTGACAATACTGGGCACAGGTGGTGTGGCTGATAAAAAAGCTGCCATGTTCCATTTCCAAAGGCCAGCTGAATCAGTTGTGGTTTGGGGTTTTTGTTTCTTGTTTTTCCTTCTTTGGTTAGTGATTTATGAAGAGGTTGGTCTTTATATAGGACGAAGTTATTAAAGCCCTACTGTTTTTCAGTGGCAGCTTGTCATTACAGTACCATCCTTTGGAAGGAGGGAAGGATGTAAAGTAAAGCAGAGAGATAAAGTGGACTACAGCTTAATGTTTGACCAGGGTTGTAACACTGAAGTTTCCAGTCCTGCCTGGTGAAATTACCTTCTCTTGGTGAAATGATCTTCTCTTTCTGTGCCTGCTTTCATGGCGTGGGCTCCAGCTTGGGTTATAGTGTTTGGCCTCACTGCACCAGGTTTGCTGGCCGCAAACCCCCTTGCTTTCTTTATGCGAGTGAGAAGGTGGACTCTCTTGTTGTGCTTTGACAGATTTTACCTTGCAGTCCAGCCAGCCTTCCTGTTGTTAGGAGCTGATGCAAACCTTTTTGTAGAGCCCCGATCGTTCTCTGGATTTATGGTTCATATTTTCCATGGCATGTGGTAGCAGGGCAAACAAATCAGGGTTTGCAAGGATGCCAAAGCAATTTCTCCTCATTCTAGTTAGCATGAGAAAAGGAAGATTTAGATGAAGCAATAACTATACTTCCCTGCGTTTTGCTGCCTGTGCTACCTTACCTGCCTGGGTCTTCTTTATGTGTTGTTCAGAGTCCATCCTGTGCTTGATTTCCAGTTGGTGAGTAAATCATTGTCTCAGATAGAGACCAGGCCCTCAGGTGTGCGAGCAAACCTCTCTTTTATCCTCTGCCCTCATGCTGTCTTGTCCTGTTTGCCTTTCAGTCTTCCTACCCCTTGTTTTCGGAGAGCTGTGCTTTCCAGGTCCCAACCTTAGCACTTGACCTCTTTTGCTCTTTGAGGATTTGTCACTTCAAGCCTCAGGCTCCCTGCAGGGAAGTTGCTGTAAATTGCTTTCACGAAGGATGTGGGCAATGTATTTTCCTAAAGTGCTCTCGTTTGAAGAACAGCCTCCAAAACTTAATAGCTCTCCTTGCATGAGGAGGTAAAAGACCCATCATTACCAGCATACGGCACATTGATGTTGTGATGCATCAGCTTCCTAAGAGCAATCAGATTATATATGGATGGTTCCCCTAAACTGTCCCCGAGTTCATTGAGATCGCAGTTCCTCTCTAACTACATGAATGGCCCCATAACAGTGCCTTGGGTAGGTCTCCCACATGCACTTACCTGCTTAAAAGGCCATGATTTGTTGCTGTGATGACTTTCTTCTTCCAGAGGAATTGATTTTTACATGTGGCCCATTATAAACCTATTGACTCTGTTAATAGTTTATAAACAAACTGAACCTTTCAGGAAAACCATAAAGCCCTTAATGTAATATTGTCCACTTGAGCAAAGAAATAGATGTGTTCTTACAGGAGCTTAGCAGTGATTAACAGACTGAGCAGCCCAGCCCTGAGGGCAAGAGGGTCCAGAGAGGCAAAGACAGGTATTTTCTCCACTGATACATCTAACAGAGGAAATCTGATGATCTCAGGGGAGAAATGATGGCAGTCCT